CTCGCCCCTAATAAGAACACTTGGTTGGGTAAAAGTGTATTGTAACTTGTTTGAAAGTCATTTGTGCTTTATTGAAATGTTCCTAGATGATTGGAATGTGTTAAATTACTGAGTGTGTGATTAGGGGAGATAATTTTAGTTACAGGAAAAAAGTACAGTGAATGTTTTTTACTGAATATTTTACAGAACTGCTTCGGTTTCTCTTCAGTTGGTGAGTGGAAAAAAAGTGTTTTGATAGATACTTTTTGATTTGTAATTCCTGAATTTTACTGTTTGTCTCAAATACAGTGGGTACGGAAAGTATTCAGACCCCCTTAAATTCATGGAGCTTCTTTTGCGCGCCCATGAGCTTCATGCAGCTCTTGGCCCAAGTGGACAGAGTTTACCCCCGGCACAGTCTACGTGTGAGGGTCGTCCAATGCTTCAAATGCTTACTACCAGGGTACACCACTCGCACTTGTCCTAACTGTAGTTCTGGGGTGGAGCAAGATTTGCACTTGGGGGGCACCTAATCAACAGGCCAACACCAGCAATAGTACACTAAGTTCGGGCCAGTTGGGTGGCCATGGCCGGATTGACGATGAGGACGTACTGAATTCTGACAATGGCCAGGCGGGAAACTTCAGGGGGGGGAGGAAGTTTCAAAGAGGCAATCCTGCCTCCAGAAGATAGATACGCCTCACTTATCGTGTTCATTTGTGACCAATCAGCCAACTTTGGGTCACGTGGAAGATGTTACATCTACATCTTTCTGGAATACTCCGTTCAGAGTCAAAGTTAATCTTCAGGGGCAAGTTCTTGATGCCACTCTTGACACTGGTGCTTCTCTTTCTGCGGTACGGGCAGAGGTTAACCAAGCTATTCCTGGGGGGGACAAACGTACAAAACCATGGTCCGCACCTCATATTCAGCTGGCAGATGGAGCAGCCTGTCTCCCATCTGGCATGACGTGGTTGACCCTAGGCTTTATGGGCCAGCGGTTCTATCATCGGTTTGCTGTTATTTCAGGGCTTTCTACTCCCCTTTTTTGGGAATGGACTTTATGCTGAGAGCTTCAGTAACAATTCATGTTCCGTCCAGAACAGTGGTGCTTGATGAGGAACCTATGCTCATAGAGGAGCTAGAGGGTGTGGATCTGGCAGTACCTGACCACAGTGTGGCATTTTTGGGGGTTGAATCTTCCATTTTAGATGAAAAAATAGCAGGGCCTTCTCTAAAAGATCACCAAAAAAGGCAGCTGGCTGAATTACTGGAGACCTTCAATGTTTTGTTTGATGGACATTTGGGCCACACATCTATGGTCGAACATAGGATCGAAACGGGTACTGCAAAACCTATCCATCTCGCTCCTTACCGCTCTTTCCCAAGAATTGATGAGTCTTTTGACTTCCTGGCCAGGGGGACTTATATCTCCATGATTGACTTGGCCAAAGGTTACTGGCAGGTGGCTGTCGCAGAGGACTCAAGGCCCAAGACTGCTTTCATTTCCCACTGTGGGCTATTTCAATTCCGTGTCCTACCCTTTGGCCTGTGCAACGCGCCAGCCACCTTCCAGAGACTCATGAATACCGTCCTTGCAGGGCTCATATATAAGTCTTGTGCCGTATATCTGGATGATATTGTCGTGGCCTCACCCACATTTGAACAGCACCTTGTCGACCTTAAGGATGTTCTCACCCGACTGGAGTCAGCAGGACTATCTATAAAGCTAGCAAAGTGTCAGTTCTGCAGAAGCGAACTTACCTTCCTTGGTTATAACATCACCGCAGAGGGCATCCTGCCAAACAAGGACAAGGTGAGAGCAGTCACAGATTTTGCAGTACCAGTCAATGTCAAACAAGTCAGACAGTTTTTAGGACTAACAAGTTATTACAGACGTTTTATCCACGACTACGCTCGCCACGCAGAGCCACTGTTCGCACTTACCAGGGCAGATGTTCTGTTTGTGTGGACAGATGAATGTCAGTCAGGGGGCCATGGAAAGAAAAATCTGAAAAGCCTTATTCTACTCCAGAAAAGGAGTGTTTGGCCATCATCTGGGCCCTAGAACACTTCAGACCGTATGTTGAGGGTCTTCATGTGACCGTTGTCTCGGACCACAGCAGTCTGAAATGGTTAATGTCCTGCCCAAATTTCACAGGCAGGCTGGCTAGGTGGTCCCTCCGCCTACAAGATTTTGATTTTAACATTGTCCATAAGCCAGGGGTGAGTAATAAAGTTCCAGATGCCCTGTCTCGAAACCCGATGCCTTTTTGTGATGCACCCATGGACGTTCTGCCTGAGTACGCTGTTATAGGGGGCCTTGATCTGCGTGCCTTGCCTCCTGTGATCTTTTCAGATTGCGAGCACATAAGACAGCTGCAACTCAATGACCCGGTTACAGGGGGACTTATACGGGGCAAGATGAGAGCTGTCACAATATACAATGCATGATGATCTTCTGTACTTCAAAGACGGCAAAGTGTCGTGTAGCCTTCACCCTCTGAAACAGCTTAAGCTTTATGCTCCTACTGCCATCAGACGATCTCTGCTGGAATATTACCATAATCACCCAACCGCTGGACATTTGGTGACGACAAAAACTGTGGCAAGACTAAAACACAGATTTTTCTGGGCAAAAATGTCGTCGGAGGCCAAAAAGTATGTAATCTCTTGCACTCTTTGTCAGTTCACTAAACCTAGCCAAAGGAAACCTGCTGGGTTTATGATACCGATTTGTCCCCAAAGACCCTGGGAGTACACTGGAGTTGACTTTGTAGGGCCTTTACCTCGCACATCTTGAGGAAACGCTTATATCCTTGTTTTTGTGGATTATTTTTCAAAGTGGCTGGAAGTCAGTGCAGTGAAAGAAGCAACTGCACAGGTAGCGGCAAGCAAGCTGCTCAGTGAGGTTTTTGCATGACATGGTGCCCCTACATACCTGATTTCGGACAGAGGGTCCCCTTTTGTTAGTGAACTTTTCAAAAATGTACCCTCTGCATTGGGCTCTGAACACAGACTCACGACTGCGTACCACCCCCAAACTAATGCAACAGAGAGGGTGAATCGCACCTTGAAGACTGCCATTCGTGCCTACATCGGCAACAAACACACCGCTTGGGACCGTTATCTTCCGCAAATTTGTTTTGCCCTGAGAACCGCCCCACATGAGAGTACAGGCCAAAGCCCTTCAATGTTGTTTTATGGACAGGAATTGGATACACCTCTCGATCTCATTACACAGCCAAATTCTGATGGGTTTGGTGAGCCAGGTATTCCTTACCCTGAAAGCCTGACGTCATCAATTCAGGAAGCACACGATCATGCGAGGGCTGTCCTGGATTATAGCCATGCTAAAAGAAAGCATTATTATGATCGTAAACGTCGTTCTGTCTCTTACTGTGTGAATGACCTGGTTAGAGTAAGGACACATCCCCGATCTGATGCC